TCTAGAGTCTGAAGATATGACAAAGTGCAGGTGGGTGAAGACAGAGATAGGCAGATTCAAGAGCTCTGAACTGTTCAAAGCACATGCAAATAAGTGGCAGTAATGAAAATCTCCTACCTGCAGAGACACAAACTGGAAGAAGCCCTTGCTGAAGCTGAGGAGCATAGGGATGTGGTTGTCAAGGATGCAAAGTGCCAACTCTTTTGAGCTGAAAGTACCACTGTAGAAGGCGAAGCAGGACATGACCCACACTTTGGTGGTAGCTACTCTTCCAGCAGCAGATCCCTATTCAGAAGCAGAGGCCCAGTGACTGGAGGAGGCATCTGTGGCAAAAGCATCACCAACTCTGGAGCCAGCTGTGCTTTTGTACCACAGAATTGCCTGGATTGGAAAAGCCCTTTAAGATCATCGAGTCCAACCATGAACCCAACACTGACAAGTCCCCAACTAACCCATGTCCCTCAGCACTGTGTCTACACGACTCTTCAATCCCTCCAGGGACAGGGACTCCACCACTGCCCTGGGCAACCCCTTCCAATGCCTCAGAACCCTTTCAGCAAAGAAATTCTTCCTCACATCCCATCTCAACTGCCCTTGGTGCAACTGGAGGCCATTTCCTCTTGTCCTGTCCCTTGGTCCTTGGTTGAACAGACCCACCCCCACCTCTCTCCACCCTCCTCCAAGGGACTTGGACAGAGACACAAGGTCTCCACTCAGCCTCCTTTTCTCCAGGCTCAACACCCCCAGTTCCCTCAGCCACAAGGGAACTCAGCACACTTGTGCTCCAGACCCTTCCCCAGCTCCGTTGCCCTTCTCTGGACACGCTCCAGCACCTCCATGTCCTTCTTGGACTCAGGGGCCCAACACTGAACCCAGCACTCGAGCTGCAGCCTCACCAGTGCCCAGTGCAGGGGGAAGAGAACTTCCTTGGTCCTACTGGCCACACTGGTGTTGATGCAAGCCAGGATGCCATTTCTGTCCAAAAGTGCTGTACAGTTGCATTTGGTGCCAGTCGTCTCATCAAAGGAAGAAAACTTTTCCTAGGATGACAGTGTGAAGAGAAAAGATGCAGCCAAGGAGCCATAAAATACAACTACAGTCTGGAGCAACATGATCTGACACACGAGGACTGAGGACAATCACAAGATTAACTCTAGATCTTCTCATGTCTCATTCCCCTAAGGGTGTCTGCGAGCCCTGGAGCCAAAGTCTCCAAGAGATGCCAGATCCCTACAGCAAAGCTGGTAATTTTGGCTTATAATTGTAACCAACCACTGAATAGGGAAGGGGAAAGAAACGCAGTAAACAAAACAAAATCATGGGTTTGAAACTTCCACCCTGCCCCTACAAAACATGCCACCCTCCTACACAACGACGCGGGCACCAACGCTATCCCTGTCCTTCCAAGGACACACGTGTGAACAGCAAAGCCAGGAAAAGCCCAAGCCATGATGCAATGAGGGCACCTGCCCAATGTAGGAGACAAAGAACCAAGCCTAGCCCTGGCCCAAAACAGATGGGAGCCCAAATTTCAAGCTGAGGGATGAGGGGAGGAAAAGACAACAGTTTTCTAAGGATTTGGTCAATATGAGTGTCTGCAAAAGCCACCATATTCCAAGCAGTTTCCATTTCAACTAATCAGCAATTCCCCCCACATTGGAAAACACTCATATCAGCAACCTGCAGAATAATCACCTTGAGAAATAGATTTGGCCCCACAGATGCTTCCCTGGCATTAAAACACGTTGCCTTTTTATAGGCAGAATCAACAAAACACGGTCATTTACCACTAACTTGCCTGCAAGAGACTTTGTTCATCAGTTCTCAGTAAATTCACATTTATCACTAATATCTTTTTTATTAAACAGCAGGTTGAATCACATTCTTCTACAAAGCTCTAACTTATAAGTTGAGGGACCAGCAAAACCTAAAGATCTCCTTTGATAGAAAAGCATTTTTGATTTTCAAAGTCCGAGTTCCACTTCATCCAACCTATAAAAAAAGGGAATGTGTCATTTTTTACCACGTCTCCTGAAAAGACGTCACCCACCACAGCTCCCCTGATTTGTGTTGCTATTACACAAGACCTAAATATGACCCCTCAGACTTAACAGCATTCTTCAAAGCTCTACAGGGCAAATATGCTGCTGCTTTCTCTCTTGGTGAGCTCAATATATGCTAAGTAGTTCACATCCTTTGCATCATAAACATTTTGTGGAAGTTTCATGCAGCCTCGCCCCGTTTTCCACACAAATAAAAGGAAGAAGGTGCTCCACTGTGGTCATAGGGAGCTGCACTCTGGAGTCTGCTCCCAGCACATCGCCTGCACCACTCTGTCTCCCACCAGCAACAATGCCCTTCTGCTCCTACAGCATCAGCTCTGGCCATTCCATCAGGAATTTAATCTCTTCGTCTGTAGCTCTTCCCAGGAATCGACGTTTCAGCACTGCTTTGTGTCACTGGAGTGGTGGCATGGGCTACCGTGGTTTGGGTTACTTCAGGAGCAGAAGTCTTGACAGTATGGCATGCTCCAGGCCCAGAATAGCTGTTGGAAGATGTTCTCTTCCAAGATGTGGATATGGCTTTGGTGTAGCTGGCACTGGGTTTGGCTACAGAGGCGCTGGCTTTGGCTACAAGGTTGGTGGAGTCTCCAGATCATGCACCATCACACCCATCACCATCAACGAGCAACTGCTCCAACCACTCAGACTGGAAATTGATCCCAACATACAAACGGTGAAGAACCAAGAGAAGGAGCAGATCAAGACTCTCAACAACAAATTTGTTTCTTTCATTGACAAGGTGAGCTGAGAACCCCTCCCCAGCTCCAATTTGCAGGCGTTAGGGTCTGATTGAGGTGTCTAGCATGGAAAGGGCATGGAAATCTTGTAAGACATTTTAGACATTGAGGGCAACTTGTATAATGGTGCCACTTGAGCATCAAGATGTTTAGGAACCACTGGGGAAGTTTCAGTGTACACTAGGCCTGACCACAAGGCAGGAAGAAGCTAAAACCAGTTTCATCAGCTCTCCAGTTCCTTCCCATTCCTCTCGGCAGACCCCCAATTTATTGCAAATCCCTCCTTTCTGAAAGGAGATTAGGTTTTGTGCATTTCCACAGGGGTGGCCCAGAAACAGCCTCTGCACAAAGGCATTTTGGAGTAGGAAATGTTGCATTCACATACACCAGGAACAGGAGCACACATTTCACTGGTGTTGTGTGGACACCAGCTCTCTCTTAATCATCATTCGGTTCCTGTTTTGCTTTCTAGGACTTTTCATACGGGCAGATAGAGATAGGACAAGGGGAAATGGTTTTAAGCTAAGAGAAGGGAGATTTAGGTTGGATATTAGGAGGAAATTTTTCACCCAGATGGTGGTGAGGCACTGGAACAGGTTGCCCAGAGAAGCTGTGGATGCCCCATCCCTGGAGGCATTCAATATCAGGTTGGATGGGGTCCTGGGCAGCTTCATCTAGTGGCTGGCAGACCCTGTTCACAAGTTGGAACTTTGTGATCTTTAAGGTCCTTTAAGGATTCTGTGATTTCATGATTCAGGTTCGATTTCTGGAACAGCAGAACAAGGTGCTGGAGACCAAGTGGAGCTTTCTGCAGGGTCAAAAACACCACAAGAACACCATCACGCCCATGTTAGAGACTTCTATTGGTAACTTGAAGAAGCAGCTGGAAGCACTGAGGCACAACAGAGTCCAGTTAGAAACAGAGCTGAAAGCAGCACAGAAGGTTTTGGAAACCAACAAGAACATGTAAGTAAAAAAAAACAGAGAAACGTGAGTGCTGGGCTCAAAAAGTTGTTGAAGATTTGGAAATAGGTAGAGACCATGAACTTTTTGTGGTAGTAAAGAGTTCCTACAGAACTAATGCATAGATGGAGAGATCTACCAGGCTCTCAATATATAAAATAATCATAGAATCTCAGACTGGTTTGGGTTGGAAGGGACCTTAAAGATCATCCAGTCCCAACCCCCCTGCCAGCAGCAGGGACACCTTCCACTAGACCAGGTTGCTCAAAGCCTCATCCAACCTGGCCGAGAACACTTCCAGGGAGGAGCAGCCACAGCTTCTCTGGACAACCTGGGCCAGTGTCTCACCACCCTCCCAGCCAAGAATTTCTTCCACAGATTTCAACTCAATCTTCCCTCTTCCAATTCAAAGCCATCACCCCTTGTTCTGTCAAGGCCAACTTCACAGAGATGGAGGAAATAGAAAATGTCTCTCTTCCAGATTCTCTTCCTTTCCTTCCTAATTCAAGGAATTAACATTTAGAAACATTCAGCAGCACTTTGCTGTTGCTGAAGTCAAATAAAAACAATTCTGCTACAAATTTGTAGAGGCGCAGAAACCTCTCTGAGAACTTGTTTGCTATCCCATGGGCTACAAAACAAGAACAAAGCATCCCAAAACACTGTTTGGGGAGAAGGAAAAAAATAACAATAGAGTTTCACTTCTTGAAAGAAGGCTTGTAGAAACCCAAACAAAGATGTAATTGTGCTGGACTCAAAGCCTTCCATTTTCCCACGCAGGTACGAGGACAAATGCAGCCAGCGGACGAGCACTGAGAGTGAGTTTATTGCCCTGAAGAAGGTGAGCAAGGGGCTGTTTGAACTTTCCTCCCTGGGTTCAGGTCTTTGGTGTGCACGCAGTGATTTATTTCCCCAAAAGCAGCACACAAAACAAGTACAAGCAGGAGCTGGTGCTTGGGTTTGCTTGACTTCAAGTCAGCAGCAACTGTGTAACTGGGAGCTGGCGCACGGTCACGGTACCAGCACTGTAAGTCCCTCACCTCAAGGGTAGCCCCAAGTCTACTCTCGCTAACAAACTTCCTTCTTCCATCCCCAACGCGTCTCCAGGACGCGGAGTGTTTTTTCTCAAACAAAGCAGAGCTGGATGCCAAGGTGAAAAGCCTGAAAGAAGAGATTGAATTCCTGAGAACATTCTACGAAGAGGTAAGAAACCTCCCATTGCTCCATCATTTGCATTTCCCAGCTAGATGTTGAAGTTGTTTATCTGTCCACGGGTAGAGAATCAGAGTGAGTTTTGCACTTCACTCGTAAGAGAGACGTAATAATGTATTTATTGGTATAAAACAGTGAATTAACAAAGTTCAAAGGTTAAAGCAACATTCATTTAACAGGATTCAGTGGTGAGGGTCACTTGATTATTTCCTGCAGAGAGGACAGGGTCAGACAAAACGGTCAGGGAGACCCTCCCGTTGAGTCATGAGGTTTGGAAAAGACCCTCTTGCTCTCTAAACTCCTTCTCAGAGAGGAGTCCAGGTGCAGCTCAATCCAATCCTAGTCCCAGACTTGGTCAACTGTTTGTGTCTAAAGGATTATTTATATGCACAATCAATCCGTTATATCACTTAACTCAGATTTGGCAGGTGAGCAGCTTACCAAGGATCTGTCACGGTAAGGAGTCTCTCAGCCTTGAGGAGTAACTTTGAGAGGTGTCCCTACTCAAGGGGAGATCCTGGTGTGCAGCCCGCAGTCATTTCAGGAGAGCTCTGTGGGTCCTGGGCTGTCCACTATCGATGGAGTAAGATGATTGACCTATAGTCATATTTGCATACCGGCCCTATTTTGGTGGCTGGATGCTCAGCAAGCCCTTGGCTGGTGGAACAAGTTGCCCAAGACAGCCTTTGGCTCTTGTGTTGTTATCCATCACCCCTGAGCCAGATGCAGCTATCACAACCAGAGAACATCCATGATGGTCACCACTGATAGTTATCACTTGAACAGGGTTATGGGAAATAAAGCTCAGGGGGACAGGGGGAACTCACTGTCCCATTATCCCAAAGGACAGAAGAAGAGGAGGTAACTCAGGGCAGTGACCACCACCTGCAGTGAATGGTGAGACTTGGTAATTCATTTCTGCTTGGTCACCACAAAGGAGGAATCAACTTGCATGGTGTGGATGACACACCAGCTGGGGCTGGACTGGGAGCACAGCAGGACCACCATGTCTCTGACCAGCTCAACCCCATGTCGTCACCAGGAAATCCACCAGCTGCAGGCCCACATCTCAGATACCACAGCGGTTGTGCAGGTGCACAAGAGCAGAGATCTCAACTTAGATGGCATCACTGTGGATGTCAAGGCTCGGTACGAGGACATTGCCCGCAAGAGCCGGGCAGAAGCACAGGCCTTGTATGAAAGCAAGGTGAGAAAACCTGGCAGATGGAGGGTTTGGGTGCAGTTTCTCTCTTCAAACCAACTTTAAACCCAGAGAAACATCTCCCACTCTCCTAATTTGCTCTGATGTAACTCAACACGTGTTTTTGGGATATGCAACAATGTCTTTTTGGGCTTTTTAAGCTTGAGGAGCTACAAGCCATTGCAGGCAGAAACACCAACAGCCTGCGAGAGACAAAAACCAAGATCGCTGAGCTGACACAGTTAGCCCAGAGACTGAACAGAGAAGTCAGGAGCACCAAGGACCAGGTGAGCATGGTCAGGTCTGGAGGTCAGAGTGAATTACTGTTCCTGTGAGCTCACACAACTAAATTAAATGGTGCTGTAGCACCTTCCAAAAGGTGTTCATGAACTGGGACTCCGCTGCTCTAACTAGGGTTGAATTAAAGCCCAACTCATGCAGCACTTGAATGCAGATGCAGTTACATCATCCTACCTTCTGTGAGGAACACGAGGAAGCACTGAAACTGCATGATCAACTCCCTCAAACCCCTGCCAAGAGGGGACTGTAAGTCCCTCTTACTGCTGGGCTGAAGGCACAACCAGACTTTAAACCCATCTTGGTGTCAGGTCCGGCACTCGGGTCACAACAACCCCATGTAACGCTGCAGGCTTGGGGAGGAGTGGCTGGAGAGCTGCCTGATGGAAATGGATGTGGGGGTGTTGGCTGGTAGCCCAGGTGGCCAAGAAGGCCAAGGGCATCCTGGCCTGGATCAGCACCAGTGTGGCCAGTGGGACCAGGGAAGTTCTCTTCCCCCTGCACTGGGCACCGGTGAGGCCGCAGCTGGACTGCTGGGTTCAGTGTTGGGTCCCTGAGTCCAAGAAGGACATGGAGGTGCTGGAGCGTGTCCAGAGAAGGGAACGGAGCTGGGGAAGGGTCTGGAGCACAAGTGTGCTGAGTTCCCTTGTGGCTGAGGGAACTGGGGTTGTTGAGCCTGGAGAAAAG